CGGGCCGCGCGCGGGACGAGTAGGCGAGTGGGTTGGCGAGTGGCGCCCTCACCTCGCGCACGGGAGAGCCGGTGACGTCTGCGCGGCGCAGCGCCAGGTGGCGGTTCTCTCCGGGCACGCGCCGGTGCAGCAGCAACTGCCACAGCAGCTCCACCTGCAACAGCCGCGCGCGCGCGCCGCACGCAGCGCTTCAGTCGCCGACACGGCACAGACAGCGCCGCGCGGTGGCACCCGCAACTACCTGGCGCGCCGCTCGGTTGGCAAAAGGCCTCCGACACACGGTGACAAGCCGACGAGATTACGAGATTATCTTTTAATCTTTGTATCAGGCCACCGTTCGTCGATACGATTCGTGATTGAAAGCAGCTGTGTATAAGAAAAGATAAGTTATCGGACACTTGACAATGGAATTGTCATGTCTTAACAATCAAAGATATAACCTGCAATTAATTAAAAAATAATTTAAATAAATAATCCACCACACCAAAAAATTACAGTTATACTAAAGGAGTATCTTTTATGTATATTTAAAGGAAACTTTCTTCCTTATTTCAAGAATAATATATAATAGGACAAATTAATGTGCTCTATTTACACACTTCTGTGATCGTAAATAAATTACCGTTGTAATCCGTTCAATTTACATTCCGTAATTAATATTTCGTAATTTGAAAATTCGACATTTTCCGAACGTCTCCATATACAATTAGAATCCAGGGGGATTTCTTTTGAAGAATTGTTTTTTTTTACATTTCTACATTAGAAAATGGCGTTTTCAAGGTAGGCATACTATGAAATAACTTAACTTCCGAAATGACGTGTAATATGTGAGAAAACAGATGACACGTTCAACATTTGTAGCATGTGAACTTAAAAACACTTTCGAAAATTGGAAACATTACTATTTGGAGCATAAATAGTTATTGTGATAGTTATTGTGTTAGTAGTTATTGTGTTAGCTATTAACAAAATAATTTGTGGATATCAACAGTAACTATCCTGAGTTAGATGAATCCATAACTCATAGTAGGGACGAAATGGATAACATTTTGTTTTTATTGTACATAACTATATTTTCAGTATCGATTCCAATTGTGTTCTGTCTACGAATACCTTCTATATGTTTGTAATACTGTTGCCATCTCCTTTAGAAACCATGCTCGATCCATTTTAGTTTTTGAAAGATTTACTATCTGAGGGCTTCGCGCCATTCTTGAATACAATGGTAGCCTTCAGCGAAAGGAAGTTATTCTACAATTAAAATATACGTGAAATTTACACGTGAAATATACGTGAAAACACGAGGGACGTGATTATTCAATCATGAACTTCCATTCGACTTATTTTTTTTTATGCTACCGATTGTAAAACTACGTCCCTGGGGATAAAACTGAATTCTGAAATTCTACTTTTATTATAATCGGAGAACAGAATTACAAGCGATCGTAACTCCTGCTACATACACCAAGTATCATAATTAAGGCGAGGACAGACAAAGCTTTCAGTCGCGGCAAAGAAATGAAGCGCTTTAGTGTATTCAAATCGTTCCCAACCCAATTCGATTTCATATACGTGATATATTATCAGCTTGCAACAAACTGAACAAGACCCAATAACCTTGTAACCCAGCGATAAGGACCTGGCAATGTATTGCGTTCTTTTTAAACGTCCGATAACAGCCGCCTGATGAGATGGCAAAATCATGTTTGCTATGTAACAGTTCAATGTCGAAAAAAAACAACAGCACACACTCTCATATTATTCACAACAAATATGTAATAATATGATACAAATTGTATACCACTAACTCTTCAGCCAACAGGTGCAAAATATCGTTGGCAAAAACTCGGGAAATTCTAATTTTAATTTTTGAAGTACGATTATTTTGAAATGTCAATGCTTTTATTAAAAATAACTCACAACATGTTTATAAAAGTACTTTGTTATACTAGAAAACAAATGTAAGAATCAAACCCCTGACAATGGCCCCTGAATCTAATTCTGGTCTTTATTAAATCACTTATCATTAAAATACTCTCTGTGCCATATGCAATCACGTACGGAGCCTCTTCACGCTACCTCACTTACGGAACAGTTTGATGTTAATATTAACATTAATTGCCAAACCTAATGTTAATAATTGTCAAATCTAACAACATTCTCAAAATTTTATATAAAACTACTCCAACATTACTGATGTTTCAAAAAAATGTGCAGGAAATGATTTAAAAACGGAGGACGAGTTTGAGTTAGAAAATAAATATTTTGCATCAATATTAAAAGGTCTACTATCTAAAGATATGAAAAAAACACAATTTGAAATAAAAAAAGAAAAGTTTCATAGTTTTCATAATTAAAAAAATAAGTCCGTTTGAAATATTTCACATTATATTCAACAAATAAGGCCAAAAATAGTAGTGTAAAATGAATTAAAGAGTAACAGAAGAACGTTGATTTGAATTTGCAGGCATTAATTACTGTTAATGTTTTTCTACGGAATTGATAGAGAGAAAACACACAAGCAACCGACAGAGTTACCTGCCGCTGCAGTTCTTCAGACAGGATGAATGTGACTTAGATTTTCAAGCCATCGAGTCGAACCCCAGGACCCCCGGGCAAACGCTGCAGCGGCAAATGGCTGTAGCCCTTAGGCATCTCTGGTGATTTGTGCAGAGGATGCGAAGGGTTTCGTGGGCGCGGAGGACGTATAGGGTGCGTTGGTGTGGCTATATAGCTGTGATAAACGCGAAGTGCGTGGAGAGATTGCTACCTGGCCGTGCGATACTTGAGGTTGTGTGCGCATGGAAGTGCGTGGGCATGGCTAGCTGGCCCTCAGGTGCGTGGGCATGGGCGTACGATTCGTAAGTGTGTATTGGTTGCGTGCGCGTCGGGCGCGTGGAGGTGCGTGGACTACGCTACCTGGCCGTATGAAGCGTGGGTGGGCATTAGGTTGTGTTCGCGCAGGGCGCTTGGATGTGCATCGGCGTGGCCATCTGGCTGTGAGGTACATAAGGGCGCCTTCCCACGACGCCACAGCGCCGCGCTTCCTTCAAGCAGCAGAGCCCTTCCGACGCCGCCACCGCCGCCCGCCGTGGAAGGGGGTGGGGTCTGGAGGGGTAGGTTTCGCCGACCCTCCGACGACGACGAACAAAGGGACCGCAGCAGGTAGAACGCAGCGATCGGTGGCATAGTGGGAAGGCTCCCATTTAAAGCTGTGTTCTGCTAGAGTTGGCGCGTGCCGCCTCCTCCGCTTCGCGTGGCGGAAGTTCGGCGTCGGCTGCCGCAGCAGCCGCCACCCGCTGCACGTGGGAAGGCCTCCATTCAAACCAATGCTCCGCTACGAGCCGCGCTGCTCGGAAGCGCACCGCCGTCGCGACGTGGGAAGGGGCCCTAAGTGTGCGTTGGGTAGCGTGCGGCTCGGGCGCGTAGAGATATGTGGGTATTGCTATTAAACCCTGCGACACGTCGGTTTCATTGTGTCACGTGCTCTTGGGGCGCGTGGAGGTGGGTGTGCGTGGCTACATGGCCGTGCGATGAGCCGGAATGCGTTGAGTTGTGAGCGCGTAGATGCACGTGGGTGTGGGTTCCTGGCTGTGAATAGACGGGTACGCCGCTTGGGTTGTGAGCGCGGGGAGCGCTTGCAGCTGACTGCGCGTGGCTTCCTAGCCGTGTGATGCGAAGGTGTGCTTAGGGGTTACGTGCGCCTGGAGGCGCATGAAGGTGTGCTTGGCTATCTGGCTGCGCGATTAAAGGGTGTGGGTTGGGTTGCGTGTACGCAGGGTGCGGGTAACTGGGTGGGCATGGCTAATTGGCTGTGAGACACAAAGATGTGCTCTGTGTTGCGTTGGCGTGGCTACAAGGGTTGTGACATAACTGGGCGTTCATTGGGTTGCGTGTACGCGGGATGCGTGGTGGGTTGACGTGGATACCCGATCTGACATTCATGGTTGTGCGAAGGATTGCGTGCATGTGGAGACGAGTGGGGGGTGGCTACCTGGCTGTGACACACATGGGCGTACACTGGGTTACGTGCTCGTGGAAGAGGCTGATCGTGGCTACCTAGCTGTGACATAACTGTGTGTGCGTTGGGTTGCCTGTATGGAGGGGAACGTGGTGGATGGGCGAGGATGACTGACTATGAGGTACATGGGTGTGTGTTGGGTTGCGGGCACGTGGAAGCGAGTTGGTATGGCTACCTGGCTGTGACATATATGGTTGTGCGAAGGGTTGCGTGCGCGTGGAGGTGAGTCGGCGCGTCTACCTGGCTGTGACACACATGGGCGTACACTGGGTTACGTGCTCGTGGAAGAGGGCGAGCGTGGCTACCTAGCTGTGACAACTGGGTGTACGTTGTGTTGCCTGTATGCGGGGAGCGTAGTAGATGGGTAAGGATGACTGACTATGATATACATGTGTGTGCGTTGGGTTGCGTGCCCGAGTAGGCGTGGCTGTGATAAACAGGAGTGTGCTTTGGGTTACGTGCTCGTGGAAGAGGGAGAGAGTGGTTACCTGGCTGTGACATTAATGAGTGTGCGTTGGGTTGCGAGCCCGAGTGGGCGTGGCTACCTGGTCGTGGAGGTGCGCGAGCAGCGCGGCGGCGGCCGGGCGCAGGGCGCTGTCGGAGGCGACGGTGACGTACAGGTGGTCGGCGTACGTGAAGACGGAGACGGCGATGCCGATGGTGCTGTGCGCCGGCAGCAGCGGGTACACGCCCTTGAGCGCCGCGCCGGCCACCCGCAGCGCCCCTGGCGGGCCCGGCAGCGACGAGAACTGCAGCGACGCGCGCGCCGTCAGCGCTCCCAGCAGCCGCCGCGCCGCGCGCCCTGAACAAAATGGCGCTTTCATTATTTTGAGTTTTTCCAAATCATTCCACCTGTAAGAATAGTGAATGGGGGATTTTACTTCAGTTATCTTTCTGTTAAGGGGACACCGCCCCAGCCGGAACAAGCACAACGCTCTAGAAAGGTCTCCCAACACGTGACGTAGTGATTTGCGTGTAAGTGTGAGGGAGAAGAGGGGAAAGGATAAGGAAAAGACCAATGCTTGTGCTGTGGTCCGTTTATTGGAGTACATTTCATGCATTCACGTGCTGTTGATCAGAGAAACAACGTAAAATTACTGAATAGAGCAACCGATCATCGATACATCTTTGGATTTACATAAACTTTGTTTCAACTCGGCGTTATTAATACACCAAAATTACAGTAATAACTAAATTTCTCCGATTTTATCAAGTCAGCAAAATAGAACAACAGCATCAAAAGCAATATCAATTCAGCAACAAAAGAAAGGGAGTTGTCACACGATGATTTTTAGGCTAAAATTATGGGCAATTTCGAATTAAGTCGACTGATGACGAAACTCATTCAGTGCTGGCAAATGTAGTTTTTGTTAAAAAGGATATATTTTATGTTCTCGTATATTACAAAAATATTGTTGCATTATCATCTTTGTGTGAGAAACATTTCAACTATATTTGTTTGCTATTAAAAGTTTTATTCTTGGAAGGCCTATTTAGATATTGAATTGTTTTTAGCAATACCCAACATTATTGTTGAAACCAGCATCAAATTTCCCTTAATGTCTTAACCAGAAATTGTTGCACACTAATATACTTATATCTGTTTTTTTCTCTGCAGTTCATAGTGTTGCAATCTTTGTGATATTAAATACATAGTTTCATAATTTAATCAATTTACATTTATACAAAAAATGTTTTATTTCATTTATTAACTTTTTATTTACTACGGCTACTGACAGTAATTCCTTCCTCCGCGGTGTTTAGAGTGGCCAGGGGATGTTTTCTCCAATACAGCGTGTGAGAGACGTGGAGAGACCCCTGCCGTACCTGGCGCGACGGCCATGAGCGCGGCGGTGGCCACGTAGACGACGACGGCGTCGGCCGAGGTGCGCAGCGCGGCCAGGTGGCGGCGCGCAGCCCACAGGCGCGGCACGGCGCCCTCCAGGCTCACGGGCAGCGCCAGCACCACCGGCGCCATCTTGCTGCCCAGGCGCCCCGGCGCCCCGCGCGCGCCCTCGCCGCGCAGGTCCACCGGCACCACCACCTGCGGCCATCAAGCAGCGCAGTGAACCACAGACAACAGAGAGCGAACTCGCCGCGCAGGTCCACCGGCACCACTACCTGCGGCCACCACCAGCTCAGTGAGCCACAGACAACAGAGATCGAACTCGCAGCGCAGGTCCACGGGCACCACCACCTGCGGCCATCAAGCAGCGCAGTGCATCACAGACAACAGAGAGCGAACTCGCCAAGCAGGTCCATCGGCACCACCACCTGCGGCCATCAAGCAGCGCAGTGAACCACAGACAACAGAGAGCGCCCTCGCAGCGCAGGTCCACCGGCACCACCACCTGCGGCCACCACCAGCTCAGTGAGCCACAGACAATAGAGAGCGCCCTCGCCAAGCAGGTCCACCGGCACCACCACCTGCGGCCATCAAGCAGCGCAGTGCACCACAGACAACAGAGAACGAACTCGCAGCGCAGGTCCACCAGCAACACCACCTGCGGCCATCATGCAGCACAGTGAGCCACAGACTACCGAACCTCGTTGCACCACCTGTACCATTGCAAGTTACACGTCTTGGTGAGGCATACGCAAGGAAGAAATCTTTAGCCTCACGTCAGCCTCTACAAAATCCCCTCATTAGGCAAATCAGTTAGGTCTTATTTGGGCACGTAATGCATTCTTGAAACATCCAATTCATATGAACGACGGCAGACTATAACTTATGACTTGAACGATAATGAAGCAACAATGTATCGAGAAACATAGAATCGGAGAACCGAGTGAAAGCCTTCCGGGAATCTGTGTTATATCTCTACCATCGAAGAGCCTAAGATTTAAACCTCGAACCCTGTACAAGACGGCAAGCGGCCTGGCCGCTACAGCACGAGTCTCCAATTACAGTGCCACTCAGTGCCCGTGGAGAATGTGTAATTGGTCGTACCTTCATGTCAGGCGGCTGCCGCACCCCGCAGCTCTGCAGAAAACGACGCGCCGCGCCGGCGAGCGCCGACAGCAGCACGCAGTTGAGCGATGAGCGCGTCACCTGCTTGATGCGCGTCACCTTGGGCAGCGTGATGGCGGCCGACCACGTGACCGTCACGCGGCCGGTCCACGCCTTGCGCTGCGTCAGCAGGTTGCAGTCGTCCGTCGCCAGCAGCAGCCACAGGAGCAGCGTCAGCGGGCCCAGCAGGCACGCCCGCACCACCGACAGCGGGAACGACAGCCCGCCGAAGTGCGGCCGCTGCGCAACGAAACAAGGGTTCATTTAGTTGTGTATGTTCAACAGCACGGCACGAGCTCAACAGTTCAAATAGTTCAACACTCCGTTACTCAACAGTCGTTACTCAACAGTCCAAGGAGGTACTCAACAGTCCAAGGGGTACTCAGTCAGGATACTCAACAGTCCAAGGAGGTATCACAGTCCAAGGAGGTACTCGACAGTCCAAGGAGGTACTCAACAGTTCAAGGAGGTACTCAACAGTCCACGTAGGTAATTCAAGGTCCAAGTAGGACCTCAACGGTTCAAGTAGGTACTCAACGGTCCAAGTAGGTACTCAACGGTCCAAGTAGGTACTCAATGGTCCAAGTAGGTACTCAACTGTGCAAATAGGTACTCAATATTACAAGAATTTACTCAACATTCCAATAGAGTATATCAATGTCAAATTAATGGACTAAAGAGCTGAACAGAAGGCTGAACGGTTTGACGATTGTACGCAAGCGAAGTAAATCCATTGGTGATGGAAGGAAGAGAGGGGAAAAGAGAAAGACATGAAAGAGAAATAAACAACGTAACGTAAGAGGGAAAGCAAGTAGGGGAAGAAGTAAGGGGAAGTAGTTGTACTGAAACGGTATGGAAAAGAGGGGAAGAATATGCGAAGGCGTGAACTGACCTGTGGCACGTGCAGCACCTGGCAGTCGGCGAGCGAGTGGCAGAGCAGGCGGACGAGGGCCATGCCGTCAGCCACGCTCTGGTGCACGCGCAGCACGGCCACGGTGTCCCGCGCCGCGCCGAAGCTGCTCAGCACGTGCACCTCCCACGGCGGCTTGTCCCGCGACAGCCCCTCGCCCAGCAGCCGCCCCACGTACTCCTAAGGCACACATCAACCGACAACAATGTATCAACCGACGCTCTCTTCAGATCTTCTGTTGATATATTGCCCCTCGCCCAGCAGCCGCCCCACGTACTCCTAACGCACACATCAACCTCGACCATGTATCAACAGACGCGACGCTCTCTTCAAATCGTCTGTTGATATATTGCCCCTCGCCCAGCAGACGCCCCAGCACACGCCCCTAAGGCATACAACAAGCGACCATGTGTCAATCGACGCTCTTCAGAACGTACGTTGGTATATTGATGATTTCTGGCACGTGAAATACTGTGGTCGTTATTTCAGTAAGGATAGTGAATATTTAATTCCGCAACGGGTCGATGTTTCTTTCCCATTGGATGCTGATGTCCGCCATCGCCATCCGTCCTCGTCATCCATATTTCCATTCAGCGGGGCGACGCCCTCTGCAGCGGACAAGCAGTTCCTAGAGAACCCCAGGCTTCGGGCTTCGTCCTCCACAATTGAAAAAATCATCTTAGAGTCTGGGACAACATTGTCAGCATATTTTTACGCAAAAAATAAATAATAGTGATTTTCCTTTCTCTTCGTCCTACTCACAGAACCTGCAAAGACTGAAGACATGCGTTAGTTCAACATCAAGAATTAATGTTTACAAATCTTTTTTTTATCTCCCCTGAATAATGATTTTTTAAAAAGTTGTTAAGGTTTTGCTCCAAACAGACGATGTGATAAAGCTTGTGCCGGTGCGCTTGCCTAGTAAGTGTTATTTTGCATTTGCTTTGAATGAAGATCAGACTTATCACACTTGTGACATTGCTCAATGAATGATTGAATGATATATAACTTGTTAATCTTAAGTTTGAGGACGGATGAACTATTCGACTATTATTCTAAACGAGGTCACCGAATTCTTCGCAATTAATGCATTGTAGAGAATATGTAGAGAATACCATAACGAAAAAAATAAAAATAATAATATTGTTTACGTAGAACTATTTGTTATATATTAACGTCATAAATGTGTGCAATGCATTTAAATCCATCAAAATATTCTGAATCGACCACTTTTTCTTCGACATAATCGACGTGGAGTATAACTTCCCTATCCACTTCAATGACCGCATACCCAAGAAGCGGCGGCGTTTGTAGTAGATGCCATTGACATGGAGTTGAGAGTTGTGTTGTCTAATCTTCATGCCATACCTCTCTCCGACGCGACCTCATCCTCTGATCCGCCCACGCAACTGCCAATCTCGTGGGCACCCAAGCGGGCCGGGCCCTGTTGTAGACGCCCACGCGCATTCTCCTCTCCAGGCTGTCGGAAGCGTTTGATACCAGCGCACACGCACACGCCCTCGCCCCCTACCGCGACAAAGCCCCGTACCGCCCACGCCTCGCCCTACACCTCCCGTTCACGCACTTTCCCACGCCATGTTCATCCTCCCGATATCCCGTGCAGCGCCGCGCCCCCTCCCATATCAGTCCCGCCCCGTCAGAACCTTGCCCTTGCCACCATCACAGCCGCGTCACAGCTCTGCCTCGCTTTCCCCCCGCTCCACCCCTCCCCTTTTGGCCTTCCCCATCACGCCCCTTTCCCGCCTCTCCCTCTCCTCCTCTCACGCCTCACTCCACCCCACCTAGCGTCGTCTCTTTTCGCCCTTCATTGTCCTTCCCTTTTCATCCCTCCCCTTCCCTGTTCATCCCTCACATTTCATTCCTGAATAATTGGTTTTAATGAACTGTAAAAGTCTATGGTTGTCTTGACAAACTATGTTAGTAACAAAATGTAAAGAGATTTAAAAGATGGCTTTTCAGTGATAATATTTATAATAACAATAATTAATAAAAATGCCTTAGCGATTAATATCTAGCTTTCTGGAATTAGAAACCTAACTTATAT